GAGGGCCGAGGGTGGCTTTGGGGGGGGGGGGGAGGACGGTAGTCACAGGAGACAGAGGCATGCAGAGAAGGAAGGGCTTTCTTTCAGAGTTGTTCCCCTCTCAAGGGGCCACTTCAGATGTGGTGAGTTCTCTGATACTGGAGACAGCCGGGCAGAGCTGCTGTCTGCTCGTCCAAAGGGTCAGGGCAAGGCTGGGAAGGGCATTTCTGCACGGGCGCGCATTGCTCAAGGGACCTCTGAGGTCTGACTCAGAGAGTCCAGGATCCTTCCATCCCCTCCATGTTAGTGATGAGTCTGTACCTAAGCTTTATTTGGGGTAGGGAGGGGGCTGTCTCCCAAACTCATTCAGGTTAAAGGAGCTGAGGGCCACCTCTTACTCACCTGCCCCATGCCTACCCAGTTAGTTTCCTCACAGAGAGACTGGCCCAGATTCCAGGGCCCCTAACAGGCCCACAGAGAAGAGACCCCTTGCCTGCCCCTCCTCCCCTCTCCCAATGTGAAGACACTGGCATGCTCCTCCCACTGCCGATTTCTGTGAATCCTGTAGAGTTCCTCTACAGGTTGATTGGGGTGGTTCCGGGCCCGGAGTGTTCACCCCATTTGAGCACTAGGGGGAAAGAAACGACCAAGGATCACTGGTAGTGGAGGGTGGGGACCCGGTGTGTAGCCCCCAACTACTCCCAGGGCAAAAGGTGAAGGAGAAGAATGGGCAACTTGTAAGCAAAGGTTGAGGGGGGAATAGACACCAGAAAGGCTTTTGGAAGTTTCTGGAAAAGCCAGTTTGAAACGTCAGACTAGGGACCCCAGACTGAAACCCCACTAGGTTGATTGCACCTACAGACTGTCTCGAGTTTATTGTCTCTGTGCTCTTTACCTTCTTCAACTCCTTTAAAGGGTAAGCTCTTAAATCTGAGATGGACAACTTGAAGGCTGAAGCCTGCATGGATTCATCAGGTTTCCTACATCTTTGATCTATGTGGAAAAGATCTTTTGCAAAGAGTGAAAAGAGCCTTCACCCCAGCTCCTCCTCCCTCCTGTCCCTTGGCCACACAACTATCCCCAAGCCCCATGAATGATGAGGCTTCCCCTACAGATCTGAAATGCCCTCTTTAACATGTCCTGGATTCCCATATGTAGGTGGGTCTCATTCTACACGCTCTGTTTTTTCCATTAATAATCGTATTAGGTCGTCAAGGAAAGTCATGATGTATTTTTCAATGCAAAAAAAATAGGCATGACTTTCGGGACAACCCAATATATTTCCTCTTCATTTAACTAATCCGTTTTCATTAGCATAGTCTCATAATATATTTTAGTATTTTAATCCATGATTCCCTAATTTTTTAAATATGTCTTACACTTTCTCATATTTTCCTCAATCCTCCCAAACTTTCCCTTCGATATTTTAGTTGAGATTGCACCACACTAACATAATAGATGAATGTAGGATAAATGGGCATTTTTAGAGTATTGTCCAAGCACAAAACAGACCTTTCTGTTTTTCCCGAACATTGTTCTTTTTCCTGTATGGGCCCCTGTGCACCAAAGGGGCTCAGGAAGGATAAATGGAAAGGGGCCAGAAGCTCCTTTGGGGACAGGACTGAGGGAGCTCTGCTTCAGAGCAGGTGGTGTTGTCCCCCATCTGAAGGTGAGGTGGGGCGCCCAAGAGGCAGTCCAGGAACTGAAGCCTAACAGGAGTGTTTATGGTTCGCCTGCCCTGGCCCTCCCTGCCCCAGGAGCCGCACACACACAGCAAGGCAGGAAAACCAGGGCACAGAAGTAAGGTGAGGCCCTAGGATAGTCTGGCTGGGCAGGGGAGCAACACATTCTATCTCAGGTGACAGGGCCCCCAGAGGAGACCCCCAGTCAAGACAGCAGGGGGCGTGCGAGGCTTGTGCTCATTGCTTTATTGTTTCTGTCCAGCGCCCCAGCAGCGGGGAGGGCAGGCGTGGGGAGGTGGGCGCCCCTCCCGCCAGCCTGAGACCACTCTCTGCCTCTCTCCTCTCCTCTTCTCTCCAGCACCTCTCCCACTCTCTCCTTCTGAATCTCCTGCTCCCACATCCAGCACCTTCGGGGATTCATTCTTGCAGCCCCTGCTTTCTAAGCCTGCCCTGGGCTCGCAGAAGGAAAGTAAAAGACCACGGGGACAGTTTCAAGCCCCCTCCAGTCTCCCTGGAGGCTAGCCCCGCTAGTTTACTGAGGAGGCTGTCCTTTCTCTCTCTGACTGGGGCTGGGGAATGGGGAAGTCTACAGGGCTTGGTCCTGACCCTGTGGTATTCCGATGCCCTGCTCTGGGGCCCTCCAAAGCCCGAGGCTAGAGCTTGAGGTCACAGAGGGGAGGTGGAGGGACAGGGCAGGCTCTGGCCTGGGCTCCATCCAGCATAAGAGCTGGGTTAGCTCACTTCCAGCAGCCAGACTGGACTAGCAGTGGGGGGCCGCAGAGGTGACTGGGGTACTCCTCGTGGCTGGGCAGGTCTGGGCCATGTCCCTGTGGGGACTACCAGGGATGGTCAGCGAGGGGGGCAGAGGCTGTGAGGGAGGACTGAGGCTGGGTGTGTGTCCTCAGATGGGAGGAAACTGGCTTCGGGAGGCAGTGAGGACAGGGGCGAGGACGGTCTCCGGCCACCGAGGGCCTCTGACTTTAGAGCACCTCGTGTTGCTGCTGTGTGGCTTCGCTGACGACCTGGGGAGGAAGAGAAGCCCAGTTAAGCAGGGTGCACGCAGAGACTGGGGCCTCAGACCTGAGGCCCCCTCTCACCTCCCAGCCAGGAAGTGAACCAGTACAGCTGACCGAAGAACATGAATGACAGCCTCCCCCCACCCCATACACCTACAGCCCCCACCAAGGTTAGGGGCCAGACAGACCACTCACCTCCCCATCCCGGGTCTCGATGGTCTTGATCATCACTGTCTTCTTGGTGTGCACCTCAGAACCCCTTTGTTCAGGGCTAGTTTCTGTAACAGATCCGTCACGTGGTCAGCCTGACCAAGTTCAGGCCTAGGCCTACCAGGGACTGGGAGTCTATCCCTGGCCACATTAGGCAGTGCCCTGGCAGACTCCCACCCCATCAAGATGGGCTTATTTTTCCTTCTACTTTAGAGCCTGTCCTTGAGCCCAGCACCCAGTGGCATAGGTACCATACGGTTGGTCCAGGAAGGCAGGGAACCCACCCGGCCCAGGCTGACCAGAATTCCCTTTCCCTGCCCCTCTTAGCTTCCTCTCCACCCCAGGCTCCAGGAAAGCCCTGCACATGCTTGTCCCCCCCCTCCAAGACAGCTAGAGCTCCAAAACCAGTCCCAAGATACTTGTGGAGAACCTCATCATACACAGCCCTCTTTAAGACTCAGGATGTACCTTGATGTCTTTTTTAACTATTTTTTTTTTCTATAGGATGTGTGTGCTCAAGAGAGAGAGAGAGAGGGAACCAGCAGTTAGCATAATGGCTATGTCGCTGGACTCCCACGTAGTTGACCGTGGTTTGCGTCCCAGACCCGGCGGTTTAAAACTCACGCCGGGCGCATGTGCGTGCGTGCCCAAGATCCCAAGAGGAGAATGGAGAAGGGATTGCGGCGTGACCAACCCCCCTGGGGGGTGACTTCTTGCTTTCTGTCTCTATGTCTCTGTCTGTCTGTCTGGCGAGCGCATGTGCCCTATAGCGAAAACCTCTCCAAAAAAAAAGAGAGAAAGAGAGTGAACATGAAAAATCACCCCCCAATGGGGATGGCCACATTGCAATCCCTTCTCCATTGTCCTCTCGGGATTTGGGGCACACGGGCACATGCTCCCAGAATGACTTTTAAGCCACCAGGTGCAGGACTTGAACTGTGCATTTGGTCATGTGGGACCCAGATGACCACCAGGCCAATCCCGGCTGGCCTGCAACTTGATGTCTTCGTGAAAGTGAGACAGAGCAGCTGTCAGTGACTGCACTGACGGCCAGTCACGCGCCCTCCTGTGCCTCAGTTTCCTCACTGTGAAATGGTAACAATGACCCTTGCCCTATCACAGCACAGAGTTATCGATCTGTGAAAGTATTAAGCAGTTTTAAATGCCAGATTCATGCTGGACACCTGTATAAACTAACTGAAAAGAGAGGTTCTGAGTTTCACAGGGAAGGCCAAATTGAAGTCCCTGTATAGTGTGAGCTTGGTGTAACCTGGATCTCCTGAGCAAACGCTTTGCCCGTGGAGAAGGCTGTCACTCGGTGGAGCGCAGCATGCATGTTTTCCTGATGGAAATGAACATCGAAGATCTGAAAGGTTTGATCTAGGAAAGTAGACGCTGCCAAGGATGCCGGCTTGCTTTCCTAATGTATCATTATAGTGTATTTTTCTGCGCTCTGGGGTTGGAAAGCCACTCCATCTGCATATAACTAATGTCAGAATGGCAGAATGCCCTGAGAGCTCGTTCTTTTCATTGTCTGGCTTTGCTAAGATTTGGCTTCATTTTTTTCAAACGCGCATTCAACATCTTGCTTGAGCAAAGTGGAGGTGTTCAACAAACAGCCAGGGGACATTTGGCCACGTGCCAAACAGATAGTGGGTGGCAGGGGCCTCCTAGCCCAGAGAGCTTGAGATGCTTCTACTGCCAGGCCCCACGGACACCCCTGGTGTTTGCAGAGTCAGGGATTCAGAACAGAGGCTGTTTCCTGAGTCTCAGTACCCCCAGGAGCTACAAGGACATGGTAAATACAAAACAGTACAATGCAACAAGAAGCTCTCTCTGTCAGAAGGTGCCTTGCTTGTCCCTACCTGAACTCCCTCTCTTACCATCAGCAGCCCTTACTTCCTTCCCCAGCCCCTAAGCCTGTGCCAGCCCCATCGTGCTGTCCTCCCTTCCTAGCTGGCTTTGGGCAGTGCCCATGTTGAACTCCTGGCCCCTGCAATCCCAGCCCCCACCTCCCAGCACACACTCACCTCGGAAATTGAGGGCAGAGAAGGTCTGGATAGGAAGGTTGATCCTGAAAGGGGAGAGACCAATTTCCCAAAGGGTTAAGGACCCCACCATCTCTCCCTGCAACCACCCATCATCTTCCGATGTCCCAGTTTCACTGACCCTAACACTCCCAGTGCTCAGAGCACAGGGTCACAGGCCAACTCTAGCTGTCCCAGGAACTGTCCCTTCTGGAAGGATCATCCATTCCAACTCTAACTTGCTGGTATATGACACCAGGATCCTCAACCCCACAGCACCCTCCAGTTCACCAGGTTGTCCTTCTTGCTCCTGGCACTAACAGCTGTGGGGATGTCCATTGTCTGTGCCCAGCCAGGTCAGGACCAGGAGCTGAGCGTTTGTGCCTAGTGCTGGGGAAATGCGACATGACACTAGCGACCTTATAAGGGCACCATCCAGAGTAGACGCTGCTCTATGAAATCTGAATGCTCTCTGTTCTGTGTGTAAGACAGTCTAAACATGTCTGCTGCTTTTTTTCAACTTCAGATTTTAAAAAATTGCCTGAGGGTGCATGTACTCATCAGAGAAAGACAGAGGCACAGAGAGAGGGAAAGGAAGAAAGCAACACCTTCTACCCCTGATGGGGCACGGCCACACTGAAATCCCTTCTCCTCCATTTCTCTGTTCTGTAGGGACTTTGGGCACACACATACAACATGTTTTAAGCCCACAGGTCCAGGACTCAAACTGCAGTCAGTCAAGTGGGATCCAGTTCCCTTAACTGCTAGGCCATGGGCCGGCCTTGAATATTATGAGTATCAATGGGTATTATTTTCTGAAGTAATCCACCTGTTTTAAACTGAGGTTACATTGGGCCAGCAGATGGAGTAGCAGTTATGTCACTGAATTCCCACACGATCAACCACAGTTCGAGTCCTGGACCTAGTGGCTTGAAACTCACACTGGGCACGGGTGCACGTGTTCCCAGATCCTGGGAGAAGAAAGGAGATGGGATTGCAGTGTGGCCCTCCCCCATGGGGGGTGATTTCTCACTTTCCCTCTCACTCTCTCTGCTTCTCTCTCCAGTGAGCACACGCACCCTGAGGTAAAAAAACAAAAACAAAAACAAAAAACCTCTTAAAATAAATAAATAAATAAATTGAGGTTAAATTTATGTACAGTAAAATGCACAGATTTTTAGTGTAAACTCGACTTTTCTTTTTGAGTTTTTTGCCAAAGAGTACATGCACTTGCTAGGGAGAGACAGTGAGAGGAAAAGTAAAATCTCCCACCAGGGATAATGTCCATGCCACGGGCCCTTCTCCTCCATTCTCCTCGGGATTTTGGGCATGCACACACACTCGCCCAGCATGAGTTTCAAGCTGCTGGATCTGGAACTCGAACCATAGTTGGCCACATGGGAGTCCAGCACCTTAACCACCATGCCAGCTGCTGGCTCCTAACTCGATGACTTTAGATCCATGTAACAACCAGTCCAAATCAAAATTAGAACATTTCTTTTCTTTTCTTTTTTTTTTTTTAAGATTTTTGCCATAGGGCACATGTGCCCGCCAGGGAGAAAGAGAGACTGTGAGAGGGAAAGTGAAAAATCACCCCCCGGGGGGAATAGCCACGCCATAATCCCTTCTCTGCCATTCTCCTCTCAGTATTTTGAGCATGCACACACATGCGCCAGGTGTGATTTTCAAGCCATCAGGTCTGGGACTCCAACCAAAGTTGGCCATGTGAGATCCAGCAGCCTTAACCACCATGCCACCTGCTGGTCCTGAGATTAAAACATTTTTGTAACCCTGGAAGATTCCCTTGTGTCCCCTCCTGGCTGCTTGTTGTTTTCTGTGTCTAGAGGTATGTTTCTCTAAGCATGTCTCCTTTTCTCTAGGCGTGTGTGTGTGTGGGTGTGTGTGTGTGTACATGTGTGCACGTCTCTTCACCCCTCTCTTAGCTTATCTATATGCGAAGCTTTCTCTCTCTCCCTCTGTCAGTCTCTCACTGCCCCTCCCTTTCCTTCCCCATCGTCCCCTAATCTGCCTTCATCTCTCCCTTGACTGGCTGTAATGTTTTATTATTGGTTGTCGATTATGGCTTTATGCTGCTGGTTTTTAATTCTGAAGGTGGATAAGGGAATACTTTTTATAAAGGCTGTTAATTAAATCACTTTTTACCCAGGTGGCCTTGGTTAAGTCTCTGCAATTAGCAGAGTGGTGGCCTCTTACCTAAAATTGTTTCCAGTTCTTGTTGGAGTGAATCTCCACCCTCTGGGAGCAGGACTGGGCCCCTAGCACCCACCCGCAGCCCCTGCCCTGCCCCTCACCTGCTCTCCTCGCCCTCCAGCAGCTTCCGGTAGGTGGCAATCTCCACATCCAGGGCCATCTTCACATTGAGCAGGTCCTGGTACTCTCGCAGGTGGCGGGCCATTTCATCCTTGAGGTGCCGAATCTCCTCCTCCAGGCGTGCGATGTTGTCCTGGTAGCCGCTGGCCTCACTGGCAAAGCGGTCCTCCAGCTCCCGCATCTGCCTCATGAGGGAATCATTCTGCAGGTGGGAGAATGGGGAAGGGGGAAGAAGCTCAGGTCAAGGACAGCCTAGGTCCAGGGAGGAAGACACTAGGGACCCGGCATGGAGCGAGAAACAGTTTCTGCAGAGACAAACAGCAACTCCAGATGTCAGATCCAGGAGCGGGCACAGGCTTCTTAGCCAGGCAACCCTGAACCCTGAATTCTCACATGGACATTCAGAGAATAAAATAGGTAGAAGGGTGTGTCTGTGTTCCTGGCCCCCACACAGGGAAATGATCCCAGGAACTCTCTAATTCCTTGGTACCCAGTTGGAAATCTACCTGTCCGGTTCTACCCCTGGTGTAGATTAGAGATGGTGGCCCAGGGAGGGTCTGTGATGGGCCCAGGGTCACAGTGAGGATGAGAGCTACAAGCAGGAAGGGGCTAGGCTGCAGGGGTGGACGGGGACTCACGGTGCCCTTGAGGGCGTCAATCTCGCAGGTGTAGGACTGGATCTGGTGTCGGTACTCCATCATCTCCTGCTTGGCCTGGCGCAGTGCGTCGTTGTTCTTGTTGGCGGCCTGGGTCAGGTCGGACACCTAAGGGCAGAGAGGTAGAGGAGGGGCCCTGAGCACAGAGACCTCAGGCTCAACCTCCTCCCCATGCATGGAGCCACAGGCAGCATCTCCAAACTGGGACTGAGGCGGACAGAGGGGCCAGAGTCCCTGGGCCAGGCTGCCCACCTTTGATTTGTACCACTCTTCAGCTTCAGAGATGTTCTTGGCCGCAATGGTCTCGTACTGAGCCCGGATGTCCCTGAGGGCGGCGGTGAGGTCTGGCTTGGACATGTCCATCTCCACCTGGACCTGCTGTTCCTGAAGCTGGGCCTGTAGCTCACGGATCTCCTGCAGGATGCAGCTGGGCTTCAGTCCCCTCCCGGGCCCCACATAGGACCCTCGCACCCCCTTTTCCAGAGCCTGCACTGACCCCACTTTCCAGCTGCTTTCATGGGCCCAAAGACCCCATGGCAAGGGCCTAGGCATACCTCTTCGTGCACTTTCTTAAGGAATGCGATCTCCTCGTTGAGAGATTCGATTCTGCGCTCCAGGTCAATGCGAGCTAGAGTGGCTGCATCCACGTCCTAGGAGAGGTCAAGGGGGAGGGACAACGTCACTTATCACTCACCCAGATGTCCCTGAGAGTGGTGGTGAGGTCTGGCTTGGACACGTCCATCTCAACCTGGCCTGCTGCCCCTGAAGCTGGGTCTGCAGCACCCAGAGAGGCCAAGGGAGACTAGGGGCCACAGGGGGCAATCAAAGAGGACTCACTGCTCGGAAGGCAGCCAAGTTGTTCTCTGCTTCCTCTTTCAGCTGGATCTCCTCCTGCAGCCTGGCAGAAAACAGACCGAAAGACAGTTCAAGGCAGGTAAAGCTGGCAGAATAGATGATATATAACTGCCTGGGGGCTGACCAAGCAGTGGGCTGGGGCTAGAGAGAGAAGGCCTGGCTGCCAGGGAGAGACAAGAAACCCAGAGAGGAAGTGACAGAGGCCCCTCCCACCCAGGGAGGGCACAGGAAGTGGCCCAATCTCTGCCCTGGAGCCACACCCTCGAAGTCTATGTCCCCAACATGCTGTGATGTACTGGGGTTAGGAACTGTATCTATTTTTTCTCTCCCTGTATTCCTGGTTCCCACCCCCAGTCTGGCCCATGTAGTTGCTCAATTAATGTTTGTGACTTTGGTGGCAGGAGGGTCTCTGCTCACTTGGGCTGTCAGATGCAAGTACAGAAGTACAGAATACGCTTTTATACTTTCTGTACTGGGAGCCCGTGCAGCCTATCTGCCGGTCCTCCCAAGCTTTCTGAGGGCTACAGCTCCCCACTGGCTCTGCCCTTTCCTCCAGCTTATCCATCCACACAGCCACAGCCAGGATCAGGGGCCAAGCTCCCCTCTCTGCCCTCTCCCAGGGCCTCACTGCAACTGAACTGGGAGCTGTCACTTGGATTCCTGCCCCCTGCCCTTCCTGGCCTGCCCAGCACTTCCTGTGGCCTGCCACCTCGCCTCTCCCTCCTACTACCCTCCCAACCTCCTCCCACCCTTCCTCCATCCAAACGGCTGCTTCACCTGCATCTTAAATTATTATTTTAATTTATATATGTCTATATATAGATAGATGATAGATTGAGAGAGAGGGAGGAATGAAAGCAAGCTGCCAGGTCTGGGATGCCCATGTGGGAGTCCAGCACCGTAACCACCATGCTATCTGCTGGCCCCTCACCTCTGCACCTCAAGGTGTTTTTAAAGGGGATCTGTCGCCCATGTCCACCCCATGATCTATCCCCCCAAGACAATTCCTGTACATGGAGGGAGAAGGAAGAGACCTGGGGTATCTCTCCCTTTGAGGACACAAGTGGATGATCCTCTCCCTGTATCGGGCAGGAAAACGTCCCCTGTCTCAGGTGCTGACAGCTCCCCCCGCTCTGCCTACAGGCCTACCCACACGCCCTGCCTGCAGAAAGGGGGTCTCGGGCGCCTGTCCCTCACTTGGCCTTGAGGCGCTGCAGGTCGTCGATCAGATTGTCGCGCTCGACGTCGACGCGGGCGCGCTGGTTGGTGAGCACGTCCACCTGGCGCCGCAGCTCACGCAGCTCCTCCTCGTAGAGCTCGGCGACGCGCGTCGGCTCGCGGCCCTTGAGCCGGTTCACCTCGGCGGCGAGCGCGGCGTTCTGCTGCTCCAGGAAGCGCACTTTCTCGATGTAGTTGGCGAAGCGGTCGTTGAGCTCCTGCAGCTCCACCTTCTCGTTGGTGCGCGTGGTCAGGAACTCCTGGTTCACGGCGTCGGCCAGCGAGAAGTCCAGCAGCTCGCCCGCGCCGTAGGAGGGCGCGCGGGTCGCCCCCAGCCGGCTGGCCCGCAGCGACCCCAGGCTCCCAGCCCCGCCCGACGTGCGCGACACCTGGTACACACGGGACGTCACCGAGCTGGAGCTGCCCTTGCTGCCAAAGCCCGCGCGCGGGAACACCGGCGAGCTCAGTGGAGACCCGAGAGAGAAGGACGGGCCCCCGCCGAAGGTGCGGCGGTAGGAGGACACGCGCTGGCTGGACGAGTAGGCCTGGCTCATG